AGAGGGAGGCCGGGGAGAGGGAGGCAGGGCAGAGAGGGAGGGAGGGAGGGCAGAGAGGGAGGGGAGAGGGAGGGCAGAGAGGGAGGGGAGAGGGAGGGAGGGAGGGAGGAGTCGGTTCTTCTCACATTGTGCATGGGTGTCGCTAGTATTGTTTGTCTTTACTCAAAGTTTGTCTCTGTCCTGATGTGGCCGGGCCGCGGCCGGTCACTTTAGTACTGAGAACAAAGACACTGAGAATTTATACTTCGGCCTACTTTAGTTACTCAGAGTTACTGAGTTTTAAAGATCAGTACGAGGACAATCAGGAGAGTCGAGGAGGCTTGACCCTGACACAGTCACTCTGTCGCACAGGCCACTGAAACGGCGAGAAGAGAAAAGACAGCGAGAACCAATCCCAATCCTGCCAACTGCTGTCCCCCAAACTTAAAACTGATACGGAAATATCGGCCGCCAAGTTATTACGTGAAAGATCGATCACAACTCTCATGAAGTGTAGGATCAAGGTTGAATCTCTCAGGCACATCATCGGCTGTCAGGTTGGCATAATCAACCGCCTGATCAGACACTTGCATAACTGATTCTGCTGACACCGTCAATGGAATCACAGTCGGATCATCATCACAGGCTCCATTTCATGGACACGCTCAGCTTTGATTAGAAACCTGTAAGAGCCTCAATCTTGCCCGGCCTCAGGCTCCACACGTGACCAAATAGAGAGCGGTAGCCGTCACAGGCATCATGTTGCCAAGTCCCTATATTGATCTTATCAGGCCATCGCGGCATGACAGTGCTCTCCAACAGTGCCATATTCTCCCCGGCCCTCCATTACGCGGCGAGATCGGATGATCGATACTATGATACGATATTCTTTACTGAGATACTCTTTTACCAAGTGACCGTGGCATGACAACAATCAGGCACCACTAGTAAGACGCTGTAAGAGGACCTTGATTTCTGATACATCGCCCTTTATTGCCTTGATTTCTGTTTTCATTTCCTTGATTTCTGTTTTCATTTCCTTGATTTCTGTTTTCATTTCCTTGATTTTTGTTCCAAGCCTAGAAATATCGGCCCGCACTTCGTCTCTCAAGTCCTCTATTGTGCTAAACACGGTTCTCTGTGGAGTATAACCCAGGAAAAAGGGAACCTCTCTCAACCCCACTTCCACCATCGGATCAGCGTCAACAAGAAAGGATTCCAAGAACTCCTCGGATAGCTCGCAGAGACCGTCTGATTTCATGGTCCCACTCGCGATCGGCGACGGGTAATCGAACTTGAACTTCAAAGTATGCTTAAGATGTGGAAATTCCCAGGTATGATTGTTGATAACTTCTTGCATACGTGACTGAAAAGTCCGAGCCCTGGAGCTGCATGTAATCCCGTCTTTATACTTGTTTGCCAGCTGTGGATCTGCCTGGATATACACCATCCGATCCACGTCTATTGTTGGAAGCATCCTACTTGTTACCATCGCTTCGAAATCATTCTTTGGACAAAGGTGACGCAAGGATTCCAGGTGAAACACGCGATATTAAATTTGTACAAGAAACAAAAGATAACAAAAGCTCCCAGCCTCCAGACGTCAACATGGCAGACGGGAGGAGGAGGAGGAGGAGGAGGAGGAGGAGGAGGAGGAGGAGGAGGAGGCTCTGGGACCGCATGGCAAGAGTCGGCAGTAGTGCCAGCCGGCTGGGAGGTCGAGGAGGCTTTACCCCAGACACACTCTACTGTCGCACAGGCCAAACGGCGAGAAGAGGAGTACCACTGTGTTTTATAGTTTGAAGAAAATTCTTGGCAAAGATTTCCTCACACTGTTTGGAACTTCAGGCTTTGGAAAAAGAGTTGGAATGTAACAATCTCATGTTGATGCAGATAGCGGAAGAAAAGAAATCTCCATCTACAACGTCAATAGACCTGATACAGAATCGGATGGAGACAGCTCCGACGAAGATCATGATGAACCAAACAATGATAATATCCCAAATAATCCATCCACTTGCGGGAGCATTTTTCTCAGGCATTCGCCGATGCTTCGAGTCGGAATAGTGAGACAATGCCGTGCCGTGAGATTCGAATATTTACGGTATTTTTGTCCTGATGAGAAACTTGAAGCTGATAGTCATGGACCTTCGCGCAATGCAGACAAGAAGAAATTTAATAATTCTGTTCGAGCGCACTTCACTTTAACGTGGCTACTCCTTCAAAGTTATCCTCGTGTAAATTAATGTCGGAGTAAACTTGCGTCCATTGTCACGGGCCGGGATGCCTCCAAATCTCTGTGTGAAACATGCACATTCGTACCATTCTTTCGAGCTTGAAAGAGATGCATGTAGTGTCCTCTGATTTCGTTTCAATGCGACTGTCAGAGGGCCCAGGACATACAACGAACTTGGGCCTAATCCAGGTTCTAACATGTAGGGTTCGTCTTTGAAAGGCACGGGAAATTCTCTGTCAATGAGATCCGGTTGCAGATGTTTGAAAAGAAGCAGGAATGATGTGATATCATCGAGACCCACATCAAATTCGACACGTTTCATTCGGGGTTTCAAAAAGGGCTGCCCACGTTTGCGAAACCAGCTAACCATTGTGGTCCTAATCTTGTGCAGATCGATGTTGAGACGGAAGATATCAGTTTGCTTTCTAATGTGCAAAACATAGTAGCGCAACAAGTCCAATGACACATCCAGCTTGTTGAAATAAAGAAGTTGACATTTTTCCTTTGAACTTTTGGCGTTGGCATGGAAATATAAGTATCCAACACACGATATCACATTCATAATTATCATTGATGCTACGATCATCACATGTCCGAGGCTGATGATCATGACGATTCTGCATATCAACCGCTGCCGCAGATTGCTACTTCTTCACCATGGTTGGTGAGATTACTGATCCAAGATTGCAATTACATGGCAGCGAGCAAGAAAATCATAAGAAGGGTGTATATCTGGTCAAGCCCATGGCTTTCTTGCAAGAATGTGATAAAGTCGAGCGAGGATACAGATTCAGAGGATATAACGATGTTTGATGAGTGTCATACCCATACTTCATTGAATTTCAAACTTACCTTGATTGGAGAAACGTTTCCGAGTTTGAGCAAAACCATTGGCAGTCTGTGAGTATCTGCATTGATCTACAAGCATCGAGGCAAGAAGCTCAACTAATGCATTGAAGCGCTAGAAGCTAAAGACAATACACATTGAGCTCATGCTACCAAACGCAAAATGCATCAAGTGAACGACACAAAAGGATTCGGATTATGCAGTGCTCAATAGAATCAATGATGACATGTCTGTGTACATAAGGCACCCATTTGTAGCATACACCTTCCAGTCTCCCATCGAGATCGTGACCTCATTGTCGTGGAGCCACGAGGAAGACCCATCTGTCGTGCCGCTCGCTGTGACGTTCATCGATCAAAACCTTGACTTTTTTGTTTTGAAACGACGGGCCGATACCGGCAGCAGGGTTGGGTGTACAGACCTGACTACCCCCTATTCCACTCACAATATATCTATCAAAGGCCGTGGTGGGTCATATTGCAGGAAAGGGGTAGGGGTGGGGGTGGCCAAGTGCGGGAGGTGGCGCAATGCGGGGAGAAGTGGCGCTTGTGCTGCTAGCGATGGTGGTGGGTGGGACGAAGGGGACGCAAATCGTGAGCAGGAGTGTGGGACAGAGCAATCCCTTCGTAGACAGTGACAACACCATCACTGTCACCCTCTCTGTGAATGGAGACGTTCCCCAGTACTCCAACCTCACCATTTCAAACCTTGTCAATATCAGCGCCCCTCGCAGTATGAACACGATTCCAGTCCGTACAGCAGACTCCAAGACCTTATCAAACGTGCTTTGGAGTCCCTGGTATGCTTCTCTGGTCTTGACGCTCGGCAAGAAGCTACCAGCAAACCAAAGTCTTGTGTTCTCATTTGATATCCGCAATCCCAGGAATGAGAATAGCAACCCGCAAAGTTTGCTGGTCTCTTTGGACTATTCTTTCATCTGCCTTTCGGGCTCTAGCTACTGTTTTCAGGGGCATCGTTGGTGTGCAGCCAACTTATCATTCGGAGGGAACGGTACTTACCAGAACTGCAGCAGCAAGTATGATTGCTCGGGGACATGTCGGAATGGGACGGTGAATCCCTACGGTAGGTGTGATATTGGTGATTGTCAGTGCGACAGTCAGGGGAATCCTAGTTGTTCGTGTGTCAGGACTTGCAAGAATAAGACCGACTCGTGCATAACCAACATTGTAAATATTTCATGTGTGAACGACACTGTGCTGGCCTCAACCAGACAAGCTTGTACCGATAGTTGTACATTATCTCTTGGCAAATCATGTTTGGTCAAAGTAACAGAGAACTCAACTAATTGTACCGATATTGCAAACTGTTCTAATTTCTCAGCAGCATATTGGCGATGTATCAACGAGACATCGTCCAATTGTATTCAGACTTGTGTAAATAATTATGTTGATAGTCTTAACTGTACAGATTCCATTGTAAATTCAACCTGCTTCAGCAATAAGGACACCAAAACTTGCTATCAATCCTGTGTAAATTCCAGCCGCTGCTTACCATATTGCGTCAACCAGACAATGGAGAATTGCACAAGCAACGATCCGAACAATCCGCTCAATCGAACTTGCGTGAACATTACTTTGCAAGCATGCTTTGATAACTGTACGGTCTTGGTCAACTCACAGTGTTTTGAAAATTGCACAGTGAATGTGAGTAGCAATGTGGTATGTCAAGATTATTGCCCTCCAAATGTTACCGGCAACTGCACGTGCAAGTTACCTAACACTGGAAGTGTTTGTCAGTCTAGTCAGGATTGTACAGAGAATGGAGTCTGCGATCACTTACAGTGTAATGAACCGAACACGAATACTCTCTGCTCCAGCACGAGCTCTTGTACAGGGAATGGTGTTTGCACAGCAGCGAACACTTACACTCTATGTTCAGATACATCGGAATGTACAGGGCAAGGAGTTTGTCAACGCCAAACTAAGCTGTCTGCTGTTCTGAATGCTGCCGTGTACACAATATATGGTGTCAGTTCTGGTTCTGTACCTTTAAGAACATTTCAGCCCACAATTTCGAATGCAAAGATGTTTCAAAACTCGGCACTCCTAAACGCCATGAATCAACTCAACTTTTCATTTGACATCAATGCAGACCTTGTTTATCCTTCAACAGTGACCATTTCTGGCCTTCGAAGCGTTGACATTGGTTATCAGCCATCTATACAAGGAATTTCTTCGACACAATTTTTCATCAATGGTGCCTCGGGTTATGGCGAAGAGAGAGATGGAGTGTTGAGTCTCCGAGTTGGGCGGCAGCGAACTCTGTCGAAGGGGACCGTCGAGTTTTCTGTCCTTGTGAAAAATGTTCAGATCAATGCTCAGAATTCGGTGTATGTCAATGGTACAACCTTTGAAACGCAAATAGCCAGTCAGCTGTTTTCCAATGACGTGACTGCCGGTTGGAATCTGCCAGCCCTGACGTTTGTTCAGGCCTCATTCCAAGTGCAATATTTCACACAGAGCAATCCTTTCCCCTCGACTAGGAACACTCTCTCTCTCAATCTTACTATCAATGCAAACTTGTTGAAAGGAAGTCTCGTCCGGCTCAGTGGACTCAAGGGAATCAACTCCGTATTGAGCTTTGACGGCTCGCAATCTTTCACGCTGACTTTTGATTCGCCAACAAACACTATCTCACTTGCTCTCAAGGTAAACTTGCTTGCAGGCCAGAATATCGCCCTCAAATTCGACGTGCTCAATCCTTCTTCTCCTCAACCATCCCCCCCCATGGACCTGATGGTACTATTCGCGCCCTACGAGAACGCCAACTACCTCGACGGAGTGAGCGTGGGGCCAACAACGATCATGAAACCTGGCTCTTCTCTGTTTGGTGCGGCGAATGGTTTGAACCCGCTCGAAATCTTTCAGCCTGCCATTACGCACTCGCTTGTTTCCCAGTCAAACTCCATGAGCAGCCCGTCAACGTCGAGCGGCCCGAACAACAACATCACCGTTGAAATCTCTTTCAACTTCCACCTCAGAAAGAGCTCTCTTCTCAATTTCTCAGGTTTTCAAGATTCTCTCACACCAGCCTCGAACTTGACAATCAGGTCGAACAGCTCGGCCTTGCATCCCCTCGCATCATGGCAGCCAGTCAACGGAGCCCTCCAAGTTCTTCTTTCAGACGACATCGCAGCAAACACCCTCATTCAGTTGGAGTTTTCTCTGCAGAATCCTCTCTACGCGCGGCCTGGAGCTGACATAATGTTCGACTCGTCGTTGGTCACGACTTCGACTTCGACCACCTTCAGGCTCGGAGTCATCAAACTGAGGACGTCGGACGGATGGAAGGCTCCCATGTACATCGAGAACCAGTTTTCGTTCACGAGCGTGGGGCAGAGCAACCCTGCTCCCCTCGGTCAGAACATGTTGAATGTTTCATTCGCCGCCAACACTGCGATCAGTTCAGGGTCCGACTTTGTCCTTACCGGCCTGTATGGTGCTGAATTGCCTTCGGGTGAGATCAAGTTGTACGGTTCTCATGCCAGTCTCTTTCGAAGTTTTGCAACCAAACTTGCGGGATACGCTTCTTGGGACAATCGTAGCAAGACGATCCGATTCTCGTCGTCTGCAACTCTCAACAGATGTCCGATGGGCTGTCACAGCCCTTACAACGTTGCAGTCTGGCTCAACAACTCTCGCTTCTCCCAGCAAGCCCCTGACATCTTCATTCAGTGTACGGGCTTGACCAGCGTTATGATGACAAGGATGGACCCCCTGCCGGGGCCTCAGGCGCCTCTCTCCATCGCGCCGACGTTCATCCGCTACTCAATGGGTCAGAGCACAAACTTCCCCAGCAAGCTCAACGACCTGACCATCACCATCGCATCCAACGCCATCCTGTCAAGCAACATGTCGTCTTTTATCTCTCTCAAGGGTTTCTCAGGTGTCAGGACCGTGGACGGGAGCTCTTTCATACCTCTCACTGGCTGCACATGTCAGATTCCTTTCGCTTCCTACTTGAATCAGAGCGAACCCTGTCTCTGCTCCCCGTCCTCCTCAACAGCCCAGCAGCTCTTCACAGCTGATGCCTGTGATGATCGTCCAGGTCAAGCTAAGTGGGTCAACGGGCAGGCTGTGGAGTTCTTCCTGCGTTCAGAGGTTCATCCACTCCAGGCTATTGTGGTTCGATTTACATTGAAGAATCCCGACTACCAGCAGTCGCAGCAGCAGATGATGCTGTCAAGTGTCAGCCCCAACATCCCTAACACGATGATCCTTCCTGACGTGGTTCGTATCCTCCCGCTCCTCGGGGCTCAGCCTGGTGATGCTGCTCCTCTTTACGTGGTCGCGAACTCCTTTCTGGTAACCTTTTCCTCCTCGCTCCTCCACTACTCTATTTCTTCGTACCTGCCTTTCAATTCTCTCTTCTCATTTGTCTTTTCCCTCTTCTCCCTCCTCTACTTTCCGTTTCTTTCTTCCTCCTCGAGGCCATGTCTTATCTCCTTCCTCCAGCTGCAGAATATACGTCAGAGCGTTCCTTTCCCTGGCGCGAGCAACACTATCACTATCGAAGTGGCTGCCAACGTTGACTTGACCATGGCCGATCAGACTGTCCTGACTGTCTCAGGGCTGACAGGAGCTCTTCTGTCTAATGACGTCATCATTACCTCCAACACGGCGCCAATTGCTCTCCTGGACGCGTCCGGCAATGGGCAGGATCAGCTCAAGTTTGCTTTCAACGTAGGAGGGCAGCAGAAGACCGGCTATGGCGAGTGGTTCCAGTGCTCAGGAAACCAGAGCTGCAGCCGACTGCAGAGCTGCAAGGCTAGCGAGCTCTACCTCCGTCCTGCTGTCGACATACCGGCAGGGCAGGTCACCAAGATCTCGTTCCAGGTCAGGAACTCGCTGGCCGAGCAGTCCGCTGCTGCTCCCTCCATCAGCGTCGGGACTTCTACGAGCACCAGCTACATCAGGAAGACGCTGATGTCTCCCTCCGCCTCGCAAGTGTCCGGCAACTTGTTGGGGGTGCAGACTGTCGACTTGGCTCCCCTCGTGATCCTCAAGAAGAAGTTCGTTTACAGGACCATCTCGCAGAGCTCGAACAGACCTGGTGCCTTGAACACTATCACAGTCTCGCTCGTTCCTACCGTCCTGCTCACCGCCAAATCTCCAGGTCCGCCCATATTTTCTATCCTGTCTCCCTCTCCCCGCCTTGAATCCTCGCGTGCGTTCCCTCAAGCATCTCCCGAGTCCTGCACACATTTCGTTGTGTTCGCTGCGCTTCTCGTTTCTTCGCTTGACATTCCTGGTAGCCACCTTCATCTCAGTCTCCAACCTCAGAGGGGCCAAGGGCGCACAAGGCAAGCTGATCATTCAGTCTGCCCTCAGGCTGCGGGTTGACTCTGGCAGCAACCCCTTGGAGCAAGAGGTCGGCTACGGATACTGGAACGACGAGGACAAGAGCCTGACTCTGAGGGTGGTTGACAGTCAGGGGGTTGCAGAGGGTCAGCTCTTTGTCTTCTCCTTCACCATCAAGAACCCCTGGCCCCTCTTCGATCAGAACATGATCTGCGGGCAATCCGCGAGCTACTGTATCGGGCTGGAGCTGAGGATGGGAACTTACGTCTACTCTGACGCTTTCGGTGTGGTGGGCGGGTTGAATGAGGCGATGAATGTCAAGGTGAGAATTCCGAGTCTCTGCCCTGTTGGGTTGACAACAATGTTGCAGGCATCAAGGTTCGGAGCCCTGAACGTGGCTGGGGTGCAGACGACGATCTGTCAGAGCTCGGACAGGGCGTTTGAGATGAACACCATCTCGATCAACCTCATCTCCAACTTCGTCCACCCCAAGGGCTCTCAGATTGTCATCTCTCAGCTGTCAGGATCTTCGACTGCAGACATCGGCAGCTACCTCCTCTCCTCCATCCTCGACCCCACCCAGCAGATCATACTTCTCATGAATCCTCTTTCCTCCTTGTACTTCTCCAGCGAGGAGGACCTCTTCCTCATGATCGGGGGAGACGAAGTCGTCAAGGTCCTTCAAGTGCGTCAGGACGGATCTCTCAACGTCTCTCGCGCCGTCGCTGGGACCGCTCGCCCTTACCCTGCCATGACGGCCGTGCAGCGAGTGGTGGAGATCAGCTCGGTCCCTGCTGACAGTTCCATCAGTCGGTTTGCCGGATGGAACCGAACGCTGGGAGAGCTGACAGTGAACATCTCTTCTGATCTATCGAGCGACCAGTACCATGCTTTCATCTTCCACCTCAGAAACCCAAGCCTCTCCTTCCAGTCGCCGCAGATCTCAATCTCGAGTTTCTTCAACGGTCAGATGATAGCCTACCCTGTCGCCATGCCCTCCAATACAAACTGCACGAGGCCAATCTTCGTGCAGACTCCTCAGTTCCTTGTGAGAGAGGTTCATTCCAACACAAACTTCCCGGGCGTCAAGAACGTCATTACAGTCACCTTTCAGACCAACACGGCCTTGCGGGAGAGTTCTCAGCTTGTCATCTACGGCCTCCCCTCTGACCTTCTCTCGACTTCAGTTGTTTCTCTCAATGCAGAGAGCGGCAACTTTGCCAGCACTTTCAACCCGACAGCTTCATGGACCAGCGGCAATCTGACAATTTCCGTCAGGTCCAGCGCAGTCTCACAAGCCTACTCCAGCTACTCTTTCAACTTCTCCGTGACCAACTCGCCGATGCAGAGGAGCAGCCCCAAGGTCTACATCCTGGCCAGTGGACTTGTCAACATACAGGGCAGCCTCATGGTGTCCGGCACTGGGAGTGACCTCTCCATCTCCCTCCCTTATGCCTACATGGAGCAGTCCAGCTACTTCCCAGGACAGAAGAACAACATCCTAGTCAATCTCCGACTCGGGGTCGACCTGAGAACCGGGGACGTGCTGACTATCTCAGGACTGAGCGGGATGACGGCGCTTGACAACCCCCCAACCTCCCTAAGTTTTGACGCATCAAAGTTAATGTTGAAGTATACGTCTGGGGCCGCAGTTTCAGCTGGGAATGTCATCACCTTTACCTTCACGGTCGTCAATCCGTTCAAGGCAAACTCCATCGCCCCTCCTCACATCTACGGCAATCGATCCGGCGTCATCCTCGTCCCAGACCTGACGTTCATAGTGCCTTCGGACGTGTACAAGACTCCACTCTATGTGCAAGTCCCCAGCTTCACCTCCGTGCGATTCTTTCAGGTCTGATACTGTTGGTCAGTCTTGACCTGATCCTGAGCCCTTGTGTTGCAGAGCTCGGATCTTCCAGGAACTACGAACACCATCACGGTGTTTCCCCTCCTTGCCATCCCCTCCACTTGTCTGACGATGTTTCAGGTATCCCTGGTGGCGAATGTTCCCACTTACAACCTGAAAATCACTGGGTTAACGGGATCTACAAGGTTTGCTTCTGACACGGTGGATCTTAAGATCACCCCCAACGCGGCTGTCAGCGACGCGTTCGATAGCAGAGCCTCATGGAAGCCCCTAGTCGGAGAGCTGAACCTCAGGCCAAAGAGCATCGGGACTGTTAACCCAAACGTCCCTGCCAACAGCAGTTTCGTCTTCTCGTTCTTGCTGGACAACCGCTTTCAGGGTCAACCCGCCCCCGTAACTCGAATCTTCATCCAGTACTGCTCGGATGCGTCGAGCTCGTGCTACATCAACGTAACTTTCACCAGTTCGACTTCTTCCTCTCCTCTCTTCATCCAGAGCCAGAAGTTCACTATCCTCAACATCTCCCAGACAAGCAGTCTCCCTGGGCAGGCGAACACCATCAAGTTTGCGCTTGCTTTCAACGTTCCTCTGCTGAACGGAAGAATTCCAAAGCTGAGGATTACAAACTTGTACCCTCTTATACCGGCTCTGGGACAGAATTTCCTAGAGAACGGAGCTTACGTCATGAAGCTTGAACTTCCATCGAGCTCCAATGAATTCTCGCCCAACAGCCTCTTGACTTTCTCCATCACTGGGACGAATGTGCTTGACTGCTGCAGTCAAGGCCAGACCCTGTGTGGCCCATTCGCGCCGGTCATATCTGTCATCGACGACCAGGGAACCTGCAGCATCAACGGCATCATCCGAGCTTGTTCTGCTGAATGTCTCTCCCCTTGTGATAAGGTAGAAATCCTAGGGACTCCTGCCACCCTGCAAAGCCCGATGCAAGTCGACTGTCCGCGATTCATATCCGCAAACATATCTCAGGTATAATCTTTCACTCTACATCTCCTCTCTGTGACGGGCTGCTCGCTCAGAGTTCAACTTTTCCCGACTTCAACAACGTCATCCGAGTACAGTTCTCCACGAATGTTAACTTGGACAAACAAGTCTTCCAAATCCTCGGCCTCAAGGGTGAGGAAACCTTGCGGTCTATCCATCCTGATTCTGATCCTTCTTTCAAGGTTACAATCCTTCAGCTGGATTCACCCTCTTTCAGTCTGCTGTCCTACAATTACAACCATCATCAGAATTCTCAGCTCAAATCATACAGTATAAAACTGTGGACAGCTTCACGACTTACGAGTTCGAGTTCGTTGTCCTCAACCAGCTGAGCCCGCAGCTCTCCCCTACCACGAGGATCTTCAGCAACGGAACGGCTGTCCTGTTCCCGTTCACCATGACTGGTTCGTCGATGACCATCGATCCCTTCAAGTTCATTCTAGCGAGAGGGTCACAATCCTCCTCCTCCCCAGGCGCTGAGAACACCATCATCATCACATTTGCTGCCAACATAAAAATCACCAAGGATATGAACCTGACCCTTTCTGGCCTCGGAGGAGCTGTTTACCTCGACTCCGACCCTTCAGGGCTGCAGCAAGACGCGGTCTATGGCTGGCAAGGAGAGTTCCACAACAACGACAAAACGGTTGTCTTCTACTCGGACAAGACGTTTCCTCCAGGAACCAACCTGATCGTTTCCATCAAGATCAGGAACGAGATATTTCCTCAACCCCCTCCGGACATTTTTATTGAGGCATACAAGCAGGACGTGCAGGCGTTGGAGCGCAGGGCCGTCGATTCTCTTCCACGGCAGATCCTTTTCATTGACCCTCCGCAGTTCATCACGAGGTACATCGAGCAATCGTCTTCGAATCCCCTCACGATGAATCAACTCTACTTCACTCTGATACCAAACATGTACATTCCCAAATACTCAGAAGTCGCAGTCTCGAATTTGAGGGGGGCCCTGTTGAACTCAAATTCTACTATGACTTCAATCCTATCCACCAACTCCAGCTATTTCCTCAGCGATTCAGCAAGCTGGCTCAACGACAACAATGGAACCGTTACCGTTCAAACCGTCAACTCCATTCCAGCACGAAGTCCGATCGACTTCTCCCTGGCTTTCTGGAATCCATCAGCAAGGCAGGATCCTCCGCCAGTATCAGTCATTCTGACTGCCCCCAGCCTTGGGCCCTTTCTGCTGACGTCAGCACAAGGGATTCCCGATAGTGTTCCCTTCGAAGTGTCTGCCCGAAAGTTTTTGCGGAAGGATATCAAGCAGTCCAACACTTTTCCAGGATATCAGAACCAGATCTCCTTGTCATTCAGTGTCAACTTCAACACGACAAAGAATTCGTTCAGCCTTGTGATCTCGAATACGAGTGGGTATTTACAATCAATCAACAGCATTCAAACCATGATGAGCTCACAGTTTTCCATGTTCACTGATTTCTCTGTCATGACAATCAACGGGAAGTCAAGAATCTTTGATGGAGTTGCCAAAAAGAATGACGATCAGTTCATCTTCGCTTCGGGTCAAGAACCTATATCAGCCGGCACAGTTTATGAGTTGCTAATTACGATCGTCAACTCTCAAACTGCGAGGGAATCGCCAGCTTCCATCTATTTCTCCATCTTCGACACCAACGTCCAGCTCACAGAGATTGCAGACAAGTTAGACGTGGCACAGAACCTTCCTGGTTGGATGCCAAAGGACTCCTTCCCTTTCAAGGTCTATCCCCCGTCCTTCCCCTACAAGATCATCGCTCAGTCTTCCCCGTACCCCGCCGCTTCCAACACCATCTCCGTCTCTCTCGCCTCTAACGTTCGGCTCATCGCCGGTACTCAGCTCGTCATCGCGGGCTTGACCGGCACCCAGACGAGCTCGTCGACGCTGGCGCTGACCCTCAAGAGCGACACGGTGCTGTTGAGCACGGGGGCGTGGGATGGAGGGAACGGGACGCTGACGCTGACGGTGGCGAGCGGGAAGGAGCTGGGCGCAGGGGCGGTCGAGACGGTACGCTTCACGATCAAGAACCCGTCGACGGCGAGGGCAGCAGCGGACGCGACGATTGCAGCGGTGGGGCAGACGGGGATCGGGGCGGAGACGATGGAGGTGAACGCGTCGTACGTACCGGGAGTAGCAGGGGCAGGGGGAGGGGACGGGAGGCCGTTGGCGGTACAGGGGGCATCGCTGGTGGTGAGGAGGATAGAGCAGAGCTCGAGCTACCCCGGAGATATGAACTCTATCAGCGGCTATTTCATGCTAAATTTTGACGCGAGTTCTCTTGAACTGGCCATCGTTTCGCAGGGAACGGAATCGTACTTGGTGATCGAAGGATTGCGAGGAACAGATACTGGAGACTCTGGCTCCCTTCCAGTCTCCCTTTCTTGGAAGAACTTGTCTACCATCGTCAATGGCACTTGGAATCAAAGCAAGGGAGAATTAAAGTTCCCGTTGCAGGACAGTATCTGGTACCTTGATCTTCAGTACAATTTTAGCTTCCAGATCAAGAATTCAATGACACCTGTTGTGACCAGCGCTGTTTATGTATCTTTCATGAGAGGTCAAGTAGCAATAGTGAACAAGGAGTCCTTTGGTAGCATAGCAGGTCAAGCATATCCCATCTTCATCGAGCCTCCCGGGTTCGTCAAGAAAGGTAACGTTGATTTTTGCGAGCTGCCTTTGCCTGACTCATCTGCCAGCTGTTGGGCAAACGAATCCATATCCCGGAGTCCTCAACGACATAGTCATCACTCTGCAGCCAAACACTGAGATCCCGGCGGATTCAATGTTGATTGTCCGAGGGTTTCAAGGGCTCAATCTCAGCGCTTCCATGACATACTCCAGCCTTGTCAACTTGTTTGCTGTCAACTCCTCCTGGCCGTCAGAAGACGCTTTCAAGTTGACCACCACAAGTTCATGGCAAGTCGGGCTGGTTCAAGTCCTGTACCTGCATATCGTGAACGTAAATCGCTACCGGGCTTCTAGAACTCTGACAGTTGAAATCTATCTCAACGCCTCCGGGTCCCAAACAATCTTTTTCAACCCTCAGACTCTTATCAACGACAACACAAGCATACCTCCGGTGTTGGGAGCTTTACCGGGGGACGCGAGTCCGTTCAAGGTCCAAGCTCCCTCCTTCATTCAACCCAGAATCTCTCAGAGTTGCGCTTACCCGTCGTGTTTGAACACCTTCATGGTGTATTTTGCTCTGAACTTGCAACTCAACAGTGCAGACAAGGACGCGATCTTGATCAAAGGTCTCGTTGGACTGACATCTGACATGTTTGTGGACTTGCGACAAGTGTCTGATGGTAATGGCGGGCATCTTCTCTTCTCCAGGGATGGACCAACAGTGTCTAGTGCACTGTGGAATCAGTCCACGTCAAGCTTGATGCTCTACGTTGCTGATGGGAAGACTGTGATGGAGAATGTTACCTACGGCTTTCAATTTACAGGTACCAATCCCTCGGTCAGCCAACCTGCTCCTGCTATCTTTCTTGCACACGCGGGGAACAAGAAGGTTGTGAATGATCTCGAGTTCTCTTCGAGTACGGTCGGGCTGTCGTCACTCTCAGGGTTGGCAGTGGGAACTTCAACAGCGCTTCGAGTCCTTCCGCGACACTTCGAGTACAGGAAAACCAGTCAGACCACGTCATATCCAGAAGCTGTCAATGTCATCACTATCAGTCTTGTTCCCACTGTCCTGATCCCATCCGGTACCGCCTTGTCCTTCTCAGGCTTTCAGGGAGCATCCTCCCTCACCGGTGGTAACGTCAGGGTCTTCAATACCCTGCTTTCCTTCCCTCCGGTCAACGACACTGCCCAGTGGTCGGACAGCGAGAAGTCGATGGTCACCTACGTTGCGACGGACTTCCTTCCAGGGTCTCTGCTCCGTCTCAGTTTCTCAGTCAAGAATCCTCCTTATGCACAAGACCCTCCTCGTATTCGAGTCTTTGCCAGCCTGTCCATCGCCAACGTCACGTTCTCGGCCAACCATGGATGTCTTGAGGACGCGTTTCTCAGCTCGTTCGGAGGGGGAGGGAGAGGTTTCATTGGCCGATACGTGCTTGCTTCCAACGTCGTGGTGGTTGTCAACCGAGGGTTGGGATACACTTCCACCCCTCTGCTCGTGGTATCCAGCGGGGGTCGCGGCTGCTCTCAAGGCGCATTCGAAGCGCACCTTGAAGGGATCTTGCTTCCCCCTCAGATCATTGACTGGGACCCAACGGGCTCAGCTTCGAGGACTTTGTACGTCGAGCCTCGGAGGCTGCTGACGGCAGAGGCACTACAGTCAACCTCCTCTCCAAATGCTCGCAACAGGATCACGGTTCGGTTCGCCACAAACTTTCTTGTGGACCCTGCGAGGTACAGGTACCTCCAGCTGAGCAACGTCCCGTTTGCCTACAGTGAGAGGACTGCTGTCTTCTTCGAGGGCTCGGGTAACGCAAGTCTATTCAGCGCGGGCCCCGGGTACTCGTCGGGATCGGCTTTCTTTGATCCTAAGGTGAAGACGGTGGCGACAACTTTCAGTCAGGCCCTTGAGGTCGGCAAGGTGTATGAGTTCTCCTTCTACGTGAAGAACGCAGATGTCGCCTCCAGAGGGTTCGGACTGAACTTGTCCTTCGGGGAAGTATTGTTTGCTCCTGCAAGAATGAATACTTCCATCTCGACGTCAAGTTGCAGTTCAGCTTGCTATGACAACACGACATTCAGCAGTGTGCCATTGTCTTCGTTGACTTCTACAGCTGCCCTTGAGGTCTGCTCTTTCACCATCTACCAGGCGCAAATTCGGCAGACGAACTCTTACCCGAATGCCATGAACACAATCACCGTACAATTCGCAGTAAACTTTGACGTCCATCGAGATGCTGTACGAGAGATCGAGATATCAGGGCTTTCAGCTTATGCCACTCCAAGTTCTGCCAGCTTGCCACTCGCCGAGTCTTCGACTCCTCTGAAACTGGAAGCTTTTGAGAGCACGGGGAGATGGAATGCTACCTACGGTACTTTGACAGTCAAGTTGAGAGGAGCCCTGAAGCAATGCGCTATCTATTCTCTTACCTTCAACCTGACTAACTCCCCGTTCGGGAACGACTACACTGAAGCTAAGGTCTACCTGCTGTTCAGGGGCGTCGATAGTATCTCCTACATGCTCGACAGAAGCCTCTCGTGGATTGATCTGCTCAAAGGCCTTGTGGGAGATCTAGCTCCTCCCTCCGTCCGCCCGGCGAGTCTCTTGTACAATCAAGTCTATCAGTCCAGCCCCTACCCCGCAGACCTCAACGTCGTGACTGTTGAGCTCCAATTCAATGTTGACCTACCGCCGATGGTCACCCTGACTGTTCACGGGCTGCTGGGGGAGATCGACCGATCAACGCTGGGAAGTAGCTACATCTCGATGACGGCAGACTGGAGCACAACGAGCCCGTACAGGAGCTGGAAGCAAGTGGGAACCACATTGCAGGCAGACCAAGGAAAAGCGAAGCTCACATTTCATGACAAGATACCGGAACGAGCTTTGATCCAGCTGAAACTTTACATCTTCAACCCAAAAGTCCGCACCGAAGGCAGCGATGTCCTGCTATCGAGTGATGGCATTTGGGGAGCGGATACCAACATCAGCAGAAAACCTTCATTCTTTCTGAGCCCTCACAGGCTGCAAGACAATCCGGATTACATCATCTGTGAGATGAAGAGAATCTTGCAAGGCTATGGTCGTCCGTTCTGGGTGTTCGCTCCAGTGCTAACGAAGCAGCAATCTGCGCAGAGCTCGACGTTTCCAGGGGCTCAGAACACGATCACATTCAGTATCTCTTCAAACTCCCGCATAGCAGATTGTGAGATTTCAATTTACAGCCCTATAGGTTGGATGAGCCACGCTAATGACACTTCTGTCCAAGTGCTTGTTGGGTCCTCAACACTCACCTCGCGTCTCGCGTTTCTCAACAACACGCTACAAGTTTCGATGAAGAACAGCAGCGTCATTGGAGCCCTCCAGCTCTTTGAGTTCTCCGTTATCTTCACCAACCTGATTCCCACAGGAAGCATTCATCCCAACACGACCTTCCAGCTCACGGTCTGCGACTTCTTGGCCACCCAGCCCATGAATGCTCCGACGTCAGCCCTTCCAAACATCCCGGGATCAGTGGAAGGGGATCAATTCCCTTTCAAGGTCTATCCCCCGTCCTTCCCCTACAAGATCATCGCTCAGTCTTCCCCGTACCCCGCCGCTTCCAACACCATCTCCGTCTCTCTCGCCTCTAACGTTCGGCTCATCGCCGGTACTCAGCTCGTCATCGCGGGCTTGACCGGCACCCAGACGAGCTCGTCGACGCTAGCGCTGACCCTCAAGAGCGACACGGTGCTGTTGAGCACGGGGGCGTGGGATGGAGGGAACGGGACGCTGACGCTGACGGTGGCGAGCGGGAAGGAGCTGGGCGCAGGGGCGGTCGAGACGGTACGCTTCACGATCAAGAACCCGTCGACGGCGAGGGCAGCAGCGGACGCGACGATTGCAGCGGTGGGGCAGACGGGGATCGGGGCGGAGACGATGGAGGTGAACGCGTCGTACGTACCGGGAGTAGCAGGGGCAGGGGGAGGGGACGGGAGGCCGTTGGCGGTACAGGGGGCATCGCTGGTGGTGAGGAGGATAGAGCAGAGCTCGAGCTACCCCGGAGACTTGACGACTTTGACTGTTGTGCTGGCTACGAACTTTGACTACACTACGACAGGTAATACAAAGTTAAACATCATGTCGACCTACTGGGACCAAGTGACCTCTTTGACTCTGAATAGCAATACGCTGTTGAGCTCATGCTCTTATTCGAGTCCCAGCCTTGTTTGCAGTTTCAACTCTGGGGTTTCGTTTGTAAGCGCAACGGAGTACACTTTCTCTCTGTCGGCAAAGAACAAGTTTGTTGTGAACGGGGTCAAAGCTCAAGATTTCTCGATTTCTTTGACGCCAATCACATCAAGTTTGCAAATGACTTCAACTAGTCCTATTGGGATCTTGAGTCCCACTGTGACAATAGCGAACATCGGGCAGTCTATCCCGTTCCCTGCTTTTCAGAACACAGTGACCGTCACATTTCAGTCGAACGCACGTTTGGATGATCAGTTGACAATCACCCTTTTCAACTTACAAAACGCATTATTTCCCTCTACCATCGTCACGTCAGCCTATGCTAACTTTTCCTACCCGTCCTTTAGTGCAGCGACGAAATCAGCAACAACTGACGATGTTTCCTTCACCATCGCACCTGGAGCAAGTCTGCTGCCAAACGTCATCTACGCCTGGTCCTTCCAGATTACGAATCCTGTGAAAGAGCAGGGCGCTCCCGTTATCACATTGAGGGTCGTGGGCTCCACCTACCCCGAAGGATTCGGTGCAACCGTGACCCCGTCCACCTCCATCGCAGCTGAGCAATGCCTCGTCATCGTTAAGTTTGATATGACAGTCGTGCAGGACGAGGTGCAGCCGTACGCCAACAACAAGATCACTGTGCGGATGCGCTCCCGCATCATTCCAGACGCGACCACACTCTTCACCATCTCAAACTTGGTCGGGGCGACAGCAGTCGGGCTGCAGGGCACATCCCTCATGGTCAGCGACGCGTCTGACGGATGCAACAATCAGAATCTCTTTGCGGTCAACTCCGCTCAAGGTTACGGCACATGGGTGGACGCGGCGAAATCCCTTACCCTTAAGGTGGCTCAAGACGTGACTTACGATGCGGTCAACCTGTCGTTTGTCGTTGCAAACCCTCCAGTCGGGCAGCGAGGGCCTTCGTTAACGATCTCACTGAACAGGAAGGGGGTAAACATCTTCAGCATTCCCATCGTCTTCATCCCGCCCACCATCAACTACTGTTTCGACGATCCGATCTGCATTCCTGGATCGAGGCAGAATGACACAAAACCCTTAAACGTGTATGACTTTCCCCGGTTTACCTACATCGCCGTTGGGCAGACCACGCATCTCCCCTCGAGATCGAGCACGTTGACGATCTCCCTTCAGATGAATGTCGTGCTGTCTCAGACTCTGAACGCCTACATCGAGATCACCGATCTTGTTCTTGTGGACATGCCAACGAAAATTTATGCAACCGGTGAGTCTGACATGAGCTGTTGCTGATACCTTTCCTGACTCGTCTCAGACGCGTCCACCTTCAAGGCTTGCGTGACTTGCGCGACCTCTACTGTCTACTGGGACAACATGAAGAAGAAACTGACGTAAGACCTTCATATTCCGTCCCGTCTCCTGTGACCCTCTTCCCTCTCGCAGCCTCTACGTCGCTACGACGTTCCAGAAGTTGACAGCCAGCTATTACATCCTGTCCTTGGCCGTCATGAACAGCAACATCTCTGACGTCTACCCCAAGGTGCCGGTGCAGGCAATCGCCATCAACACGGCTCAAACGGGGTCGGAAGCTGACAGCAGCAGGCTTCAGACGCTCTTCTTCGGCCTGGGCTTCACTTGGTTGAGGACGAGGGTCATCGGGCAGAGCAACCCTTACCCCGAGCAGCGAAACACCCTCACCATCACTCTAGCCGTCAGCTCCAACATCTCCTCCTCCGCCCAGCCTCTCATCTCCATCACTTGCCTGCTGGGCAAGAGCTGGGGTTCGACCTTGGTGACCTTGCAGGACCCAACGGGACAGAACTTTGACAAGATGTTTGCCGACAAGTCCAGCTCGGGGACACCTGGGCAGGCGAACTGGGATGGAGCCCAGTACACGCTGTCTTTCTTCCTCGTGCAGGACTGGAACTCTGACAGGCAGGTCATCCTGAGTTTCACGATGATGAACAAGAGGAGCTACGAGGCAACTGCCATGTGCAGCTCCAACGCTCTCTACATCCAGTTCGCTCCTCCTCAATCTGACGAGCTCATCAAACACCAGGGTACCATCAGCCTGACCGAGTTCAACTACGACCTCTCCTCTATCCCACTCGTGGTCGGCGGTAAAGTGGGCGATGCGGACCCACGGGTAATCTACCAGTACGGCTTCACTTTTCTCTCCATCTCCCAGTCCAACCCAACCCCAAGGGAGAACAGCACAATCACCTTCAGCTTCTCCTCCAGCCTCCCGCTCGACTCTGGCTCTGCCATCTTCCTATCCTTCCACCCGATGACCTCTCAGTTCGTCTGGATGGACGACTCCGGTGTGAAGCCAATCCAGGAAAGCACCAGCAGCACCAGTCACTTCTCCTCCTCCTACCTCGACTTCCGGGCTGGCACTCTTTGCTGGAACTCCGGGAGGGATGGGGTAGCAGTCCCGCACATGGTTCTCTACCTAACATCGATGATCAACGCATCTGTCATCTACAACATCTCCTTCAACTTCACCAACCCAGCACAGACGCAGGACACGGTGCTGACTAACGCGACCATCAAGTCGGTCACAAACTCTTCGCTGCGGCAGGAGTGCTCGCTCGCAAACTCGTGGGGAATCTGCTCCTCCTGCCTTGAGATCCCTTCTAAGCAAGTGGATACGCCATCAAGCGTGAGAGCTGTCCTGAGGATTCTAGCGGGCTATGTTGAGACGAAGATCGGCCAATCCAGTCCCCTTCCTTCAGCTATCAACACGCTCACTGTCACCCTGGAGGTCAACAACCAGCTCGACGCAGGAGCAAAGGTCACTCTGTCGGGGTTGCGAGGAGCCTATCCCTTGAAGGGCTTCGACATCAACACCAACTACCCGGTAAGAAAACTGGATCTCTTTCCCCCGTCCTCTGCTGCCCTTCTCCTCCTCTCCCTCCGTCCTGGGTCTCCCTGTTCCCTTGGTCTTCCTCCTCTCCTCTCCTCTCCTCTCCTCTCCTCTCCTCTCCTCTCCTCTCCTCTCCTCTCCTCTCCTCTCCTCTCCTCTCCTCTCCTCTCCTCTCCTCTCCTCTCCTCTCCTCTCCTCTCCTCTCCTCTCCGCTACCCTCCCATCCCATCACCTCTCATCTCTCCGCTACCCTCCCATCCCATCACCTCTCATCTCTCCGCTACCCTCCCATCCCATCACTTCTCATCTCTCCGCTACCCTCCCATCCCATCACTTCTCATCTCTCCGCTACCCTCCCATCCCATTCCCTCTCATCTCTCCTACCTTCTCATCTTCGTCTTCACCCTACACAACTCTGACGCTTCCTACCAGATCTCCGGATCGGGCTGGGACTCATCCATGGGAAGCGCTAAGTGGTTCTCCCCGACCGTTGGCTCTCCTTACCTGGTCGTCACTCTGTCCAAGAAGCTCGTCAACGCCAACACCTTTGCCAAGTCCTACATGCTCGGCCCCTTCCAGTTCCAGGTAGTCAACGGGGTCCTAGCCCAGCTGCCCCCGAGCATTTTCGTCAGCGCGACGATGCCGATGGTGGATGGAGAACAGACGGTGCTGCCGCTGAGGAACATGACAACGCCTGAGATCCCGCTAGCTCCTTTGTTTCTTCAGAAGGTCTTCGTCCTCGCCAACGTCGGCCAGTCCGACGGCTCCCCAGCCCTACAGAACGTCATCACCGTCACTCTGCAGACCAACTTCCTTCTCCCAGCTGGGTCCCAGCTGACGTTCGGGGTGGGGACTGACCAGAGAAATGACGGGTTTGTGGGAGCCGTTTACCCCAAGGGTCCCATCGCGATCCAGGATGGAGGAGCAGGAGCAGGAGCAGGAGCAGGGTCCAGCTACTTCAGCTCAGCGGTCTGCGGAGAACAAGAGAACGCGACATTCTACGGGAAAGGCTACTGGTGTCCGGGGCTCTCGCAGACTTGTCCTTGCAACAAGTATGCGACGAAGCATCTGGTGGTGAAGACAGCCCAGCCGATAGCTCCCTGCACACGAGACGACTCCTTGCTCGCCTGCATGCTCGAGAACTCCTCCTACGTGGTGTTTTCCTTTCAGGTCTGACACTTGAAAAGCTTGTTGCCGCAACCTCCTCTTGTTGCCGCATCTTCTTGTAGCATAAGTTTTTGTCTTTGACTCTAGTGTTCTGTCTCTCATGTGAACAGTCTCTTCGTTGCGTTCTCTCTCTCGTTCCTCTGCATCTCCTAACATGCCCTGCCAGGTCGTCAACCCATACCTCACCAAGGGACAGAGCCCCCCCAGGATCGTCCTGCGTGCTGCTGACGTCACCGTGCAAGACAGGCTGATGAAGACTTGCTCCTCTCCCCCTGTCTACATGAGCAGCTCCCTCGACGCGTGCGAGACTCTTCCTCCTCCCATTGCTGCTCCTCTGCGCATCTATCCCAAGTTCTACTGCTACCTCCAGCCGGATCCTACCTCCCCTCTTTTCTCCCCCTTCTCAGGATCGAGTTTCTGTGGGACACAAGGAGCAAGCCCTGTCTCTGCTGTCTGCGCCTTGAACGACACGGCAGCCTACAGCTACTACAACCAGACGCTCCGAGCTCTCTTCCAGGGCCTCGTCCTCTCCTCCTCCAACGTCATCGGGCCGAATATGTTCGACGGCACCCAGCTCAACTGCTACACCAACTTCACCTCCATGTGCACAGATGCTGGGGGCACCCTCTCCTCCTCCTTCGCGCAGACGTTCGGCACGAGCGGCTGCTGCTCGAGCGTGTTCGGGCGCCTGAAACGGAGCTCCTTGCCAGGGGAGGCGACAGCCTCGCTCCTCCTCCCAGGTTTCCCAACTGTTGACAAGTACAAGGTGGACCTGGGAATGTGCCGGACGGACGACGACTGCAAGAATATCGACCCTGAGAGGACCGGGTACGTGGACTACACTTCCACCTCCTCCTTCAACACAGGCATCCCCAACATCATGGTGTGCTGCGACGCTTGTCAAAGTCTCATGTCAACGGTCTGCTCCATCGGCAACTCCTCGGCCGCCTCGTACTGCAGGCTCTACTTCCGCTGCTCTCCAACGAGGCCGTGCTTCGGAGCGATCAACCTTGCTCCTACCACCACACCACTAGGTCAGCCCACACTCTGTCACTTCTTCCTGCCTCCTCCTCCTTCTCGTTTCCTCCTCCTGCTTTCATCTCACCACGTAAACAGAGACAACGCCTCCTCCTCCACCGCCGCCCCCCCCTCCTCCTCCTCAGGTAACGCCGTCAGTCGCTCGCATCTCGATCCTCACCAGCTCTGGCAGGAGATGTCACCTCCTCCATACGTCGTCGTGACCTTCAGGATCGCCAACTTCGGCCTCTTGTCCTTCTCTCAGGACGTCAAGCAGAAGATCCTCAACGACCTCGCCTCCTTCCTCGGCTACGACGCCGTCCAGCTCCTTCAGGTCATCTCGGCGCAGGAGGTGAACACGCGGAGGAGCTCGGAGGCAACGAGGCAGAGGCATCAAGAGCAGCAGCAGAAGGAGGAGGAAGATGAGGCATACAGCCTCCTTGCCGTCTCTCTGCAGTTCGTTGTCAGGATCGTCGTCATGAACTCAGCCCAGGCGTTCCAAGTCGCCAAGACACTGTTCGACGGGTCGAGGAGCGGCCAACTGCAGCAGGCCTTCACCAGCGTCTCGCTCACCATCGGGCTAGTCAACGTCACTGCCTTCGACAGCACCCAGCAGCACATCTCCCTCGTCGGAGCCAACGTCCCGCCCATGTACATCAACCCCTGCGCGTCAATCCCTTACTCGCAGGACCTCCATGACCAGTTCTGCTCAAACACCTTCCTCAGCCTAAGTCCTGCTGACACCCAGGAGGCGATCAGCATGTGCCAGGGCCTGGACGGCTGCTGCTACCAGAACCAGTCTGGACTCTCCTCCTCTCAGCTCTGCCGGGCCTGTGCTGACTGCGCCAACGGGTCTTATCCCTGCGGCACCTGCTGCTTCGCTCCTGTCCGTCGGAGGTCTCGACGAGCAGATGAGACTTGCAACCCAGACGTAGCGATGTGAGTGACTGAATCACTTC